TCTGCCCCTCCTCCTCACTCTGACTCTCCCTCTTTTTCCTCCTACACAAAGCCTGGATAGTGTCTGCCACAGCAGGGCTCCATCCCAGTCCAGCTTTTATCTCACTTCCCTGCAGAATTCAAATCCGGAACTTTGGAAATCTTCAGGGTCAAATCTCTCACTTCACAAATGAGGTAACAGACTCCATGAGGTAAGGTAACTTTTTTAGGTCCACATAGTTAATAATTTGTTTTACGCCCGCCTTCACACTGTGGGCAGTTGGTAACTTAGTGGCTACCATGACCATACGTCCAAAATTTTCAGTTTCAATTTCAAATGGTCTGTACAGTCATCAGGCCACGTTAAGGATTTCACTCTGTAAAAAACACTGCAACTTATACTGCAGACATGTTAAGAGGGACCTTTTGGAAACAATAAATTTATTCCTGTTACTGAATCCAACTTTTCAGCTCTGAAGCACTGGTTTTTAACATTTTAGAGTGACAGACCCCCTCAAGGAAACTGAAGAAAGCTACGGACCCCTCTCCACACAAAAATACTTCCATAAAAACATAAAATTTTGCCTCAGCCATTTAAATATGCAATACACAGCAGTGAAAACCCTTGATCTGAGGGTAGAAATGTCAGCGTGTCTGCTATGTGGCCAGGGAATATTTTTAAATGGCTCTTAAATCATAAAAATTTGCAAATATTTACATGACAGATTACAGAGCACATTTAATTTTCACAACAACCCGATGAGATAGGTATTAATATCCCAATTTTACCCATGAGGAAACCACAACCCAAAGAAATCCAGATATACGTTGAAGTTCACACGGCTAATAACAGCAGTGCCAGGACTAGAACACAGGCTTTTTGTTCCTTGTTCAAAATGCCTTCACATCAAATATTTTGAGTTTCGGAATCACGGTCCTTGCTAGCTATCCAGGGAAGACTCAATGGCAAGCCCTTTCCAAAGCAGTTCTCTTTAAAATTGAACAACAGATGTGTGGCGACCATGAGAGACTATAGACTGGGGCCCATCATGCTATTTATGGCTTGTATTCTCCAAGCACTATTCTCGGGCAAAGACACTGCAAAATAGGCCATTAGAATTGCAGGCTTTTGGGTCCAGAAACTAAACACCATTTAAAGGAAAGCAAAACAAAACAAAACCAGATGCCAAAAATGATAAGACACACAGGATTTTCTTGTTTTGTTTTGGTTTTTTTCAACACCATTGTGAATTATCTGGCCTTTCTCCAAAGAACAGCTGGAAGTAAGTTGGGAAGAGAGCCAAAAATATCTTAGAAAAGGCAGTACACACACCAAAAGGGAAATACGAGAGCCAGAAAAGAAGCTTCTAAACTTTATAAAAGATGAAGATGCTGGGAAATTTGCTAAATGGCCATAAACACCTTCAGAGGGGAAAGCAGGGGGAGAACCCCTAATCGATCCATAAGCCAGAGATTTCAGAATCATCACGAGTTTTCTGGCCATATTCTTGATGACCCAGAACTC